ATATATATTAAAACACTCAATATAATACTTACATGTGATATATAATTAATTTTATAATATTATTAAATACTATGTTTATTAAGTATAATACATTTATGAGATTTAATATGTGTTAGTTAAATATCGTCTATGACTTTTGTTGTGCAGGGTTATTTTATTTTTATCAAGTCTAGAGTTTGAATCTAGTATACAATTGTAGTAAATACTCATATAGGGGAGTTTTATTGCTCATACTAGTTCTATGAAACTCAAGCATGATTGTCTCTAATAGAAGATACTTGTGGTTTATGAAAAAAAAAGTTATGCATATTTATGCATATATGTGTGTAGTTTATACAAATAAAAAAGTTTATGCATGTGTGTATGGGACACTTCAAATGACAACATCTCTTATAATAAAAAATGAAAATTACTAATAATAACCATCAGAATAAAATAGATAGTTCAAATTAGAAGGTTACAAAAAAAAAAATACCACACCACAATATCATAATAGTCTCCATCATAATCATTATCATAATGATAATCGTGCCATTGTCGTTGTCACTATCGTTGTTGTCATTATTGACACAACTATCGTCGCCATGACTCCCACCATTGTCATCACCATTATCATCTATAGTGATCCATTTATTCTAAAAGTAACTTTTAGTAGAGTTACTCCGCCCAATAACTCACAAACTGTTTAAAAACTATTTAATACTCTTTATATATGTGTATTGAAATTTGATGTAGAGTATGTGTTATTGAATGGAGTAGGTCTAACTAAACTCACTTTTGAAATAAGTTGAATTAAAAGTTTTTATACACAAATAAAGTCTGTAAATTTCCAAAAATTTTGAAGACTATTTGATATTCCATTTCATTAATTCAAATCAATATATAAAATATTTTTATGATTATCTATTAATTTAAATTAATGAAATGGAGTATCAAATATTTTTCACAATTTTTAAAAATTTGCAAACTTAATCTATGCATTAATTTTCTTTTAATTCAATAGTTAGATCCTTGAAATTTGATGTAAACATGTGTTATTTGGTGAAATAAGCTTAGGTAAATTTACGCTTGGAGTAAGTTTATAAACTCTTGGAAGACTTACTCTACTCAATAGCTCATTTTCTACATCAAATTTTAATGATTCAAACATTGAATTAATTCTTAATGCATGATCAAGTCTACAATTTAAAAAAAAAATGAAAATCATATGATACTTCGTTATATAAATTGAAATCAATGTGTAAAATATTTTTTTTTAATTATCCATCAATTTAAATTAATAAAATAGAATATCAAATAGTTTTCAATTTTTTTTAAAATTTGTAAATGTGATGTATACATTAATAAACTTTTAATTTAATGACTGAATTATTAAAATTTGGTGTATAATATGAGTTATTGAGTGGGTTAGTGGATCCCTCCTCTATATAACTTCAAGAATAAGTTAGCCCAATCTCAATAATTCATGGATTACACTAAATTTTAAAGATTAAATTGTTAAATTAAAAATTATTAGTAAATTGATTATCTATAACTTTTTACGAAGTTTGAAAACTATTTATATATATATTATATATATATATATATATGTAGAGAGAGTAGAAATTTACTTATTCTAAGAATAAGTCTTGGTATACATATTCCTCTCAATAACTTATGTTTTACATCAAATTTTAACGATTTAATTGTTGAATTAAAAATTATTAATACATAAATCAAGTTTAATTTTTTTTAAAAATTAAAAATTATTTGATACTCCATTTTATTAATGTCAAATTAACATATAATCATAAAAATGTTTTATACATTAATTTGAATCTTATAACAAACTAACATATGATTTTCAACTTTTTAAAAAAATTGTAAACTTGATCTATTTATGAAAATTTTTTAATTTAACAATTAATTTATTAAAATCTGATGTAGAATATGAATTATTGAGTAAAAAAAATATACCAAGACTTACTTTTGGAGAAAGTGGATTCCTCTTTTGGACTTACTCATTGAGGAGAGATTCTCTTACTCCGAGAGTAAGTCTACTTAAACTTATTCCGCACAATAACTTATATTTTATATAAAATTTTAATAATTTAACTATTAAATTAAAAGTTTTTAAATGCATAAATTTTTTTTTAAGAAATTAAAAATAATTTGATACTCTCTTTGATTAATTCAAATTAACGTATAAAATATTTTTTCGATTTGAATAAGATTGCTTGTATTAAAAAAATATTAAAATATAGAAGTCATTAATTAAATATGATATATCATTAACTTTAATAATAATAATAATATTAAAAATGTATTTATTATACAATATATTATTAATTTAATGTGTTTATTAAATGCATAACTTTTATGCATCTTAAATTATATTTATAATAATAAAAATGTATTAATGACAGTATTAAATATATTATATTTGCTAAAAAGAAGAATGTGAACGCACCTCATGGATAAAAAAAATTGAATATTTTGTTTAACTTGAACCGCTGGTTGATGCTATAAAAGCTACCTGTAGAGAAGCTAAATATTCATCCAAAACCATTCACATTTGAGCTACCCCAATGGCTGGGCAACAAGAGATGAAGGAAGAAGAGCTGAGTTTCTCTCTCCGCAAAGAGAGTGCTTGGGCATCTCCCTATTGTCTCTATCAGTTTCAAAATTTTCTGTGTCCAGCTATTCACATTCAAGCTGTGAATAACTCTCAGAAATACTTTGAAGCAAAAGAGAACGATGTTGTTGTTGCCAGCTTTCCAAAATCAGGCACCATTTGGATGAAAGCCCTTGCTTTTGCCATTGTGAACCACCAGCGTTTGTCCACCGCTGAAACCCATCCATTACTCACTTCCAACCCTCATGAACTTGTTCCTTTCATTGAATTTATCTATTCTGCTGATATTCCTGAGCAGAATCTTCGCCTATCCAAAGTGGCTGAGCCAAGAGTTTTTGGCACACACACTCCCTTGCCTTCGCTGCCAAAGTCCATCGTGGAGTCCAATTGTAAGATAATTTACATTTGCAGGAACCCTTTTGACAACTTTGTTTCTGCATGGAATTACTTTAACAAAATCAAGCCTGAGTCTCTACCTGCATTGCCAATGGATGAAGCTTTTGAAATGTACTGCAAAGGGATAATCGATTATGGGCCATGGTGGAGTCACATGTTAGGGTATTGGAAGGAGAGCAAAGCCAGGCCAAACAAGGTTTTGTTTTTGAAGTATGATGATCTTAAAGTGGATACCCATTTTTATGTGAAGAAAGTTGCAGAGTTTTTTGGTTGTCCTTTCACCCAAGACGAGGAGAATAATGGAGCCGTTGAAAAGATAGTCAAACTATGTAGCTTTGAGAAGATGAAAGATTTGAAAGTGAATAAATCTGGAACAGTGGGCACAGGAGCTGTTGAGAAGAAAAACTTTTTCCGCAAGGGTGAGAAAGGAGATTGGGTTAATTACTTTTCCCCTTCCATGATCGAAAAACTATCCAAAATCATTGAAGAAAAGTTAAGTGGATCGGGTTTGTCTTTTAAAGAGTATTATTAGCTAATCCATGAATGTGCTGTAATGGGTGCTGACCATCTTATTCTCCTTTTCCCTTTTGTTAAATAAGAAGGTGCCATATATAAGTTGCAGTAATATGTGAGTACCTCAACTGTTACCATCTATCATCAGTTGTATTGGAAATGTGTGTTGAAGGTTTTTTTCCCCTTTTTTATGTCTCTAATTTTATTTACTTATTTGTGGAATTTTGTATAATGAGAATGCCACAAGAATTTCGGGATTTTTTTTTTATTTTTAAAACAAGATATATAGTGTCATGCTTTTAAATTTGGGTGCTCCAATACAATTTCAAGGTTGATTTATTATTTGTGTAATCTATCGGTCAAAGAGAAACTTACATTGGTGTGTAAAAAAATTAAATGAACCGATTTAAATTTAAAATTAAAATGCACAATTTAAAAAAATCATGACCATTTTGAAAAAAAATCAATTACATTATTTACATAAAATAAATTTTAAAAATCGCATCACATTAATAATTAAGTTTGACGTATTAATGCACCATTTTTTTAATAATAAATAAAATTAAATTAAACCTTCTTATATCTTATGATTTAGTAATTTATAATATTATATAAAATATGTGAATATTTTTTACGATTATTATCTTCTTTTTTTTATTATAAATTTTTTGATTGTTTCTAGACTATTAAAGAAAATATTAGTTATCAAATCATGTTTTATAATTAATTTTTTACATACAATATTTTTGAGTTGACTTCTATAATTTATTTACATCTCTTATATCTTATGACTAAATGATTTACAATATTATATAAAATGGTTGAATATTACTTACGGTCATCATATTTTTTTTTTTTTTAACTTTTTGATTGTCTTAGACTATTAAAGTAAATGTCAATTATCAAATATGTTTCATGATTAATTTTTCTATTGACGATTATACTTCTATATGTTAATAACCGATAATAGGATAAGTATCGAAGCATGAATCTACTTTTGATTTAGGCCAAATTAGAAACCATGTCTTGAGTGGTAGTAAAACATCACACAAATCTCCAATCTGGGTAAAGGCTGATCCGATCAATGAGACTTGAATTAAGATTTTTTTAATAAATTACTTTTCAACCAGAATTTCTGATTTTGCAATTAAGCATAAATAAATAAAATTAAAACCATATTATTACTTATAATTACTATGGGAAAATGGGTCAAATATAGTAATCGTTTGTAAACTTTTTCTCCTAGAGTTTGAAATTGCAAAGAAATTAAAATAACCACGACAAAGTTTGAAATAAAAATTTTGTATATATTATTCTAACTTTTCATTATTGTCAATTTTAATAGTTGAACTGCAAAACAATAAGCTATATAATTTGTGTAGTTAAACAAAATTAGTAGTATTGTGTTCATAATAAATGTAAAATGGATAGTGTAGGGATTACTATCACTTGACAAAATATATTTATGTATTTTTTAATAAATACCTTGAAATATTTACTAAATGTGCAATATATTTAGCTAACTATGTACCAGATAAATATATTTAGTTAACTCCATCATTTACTGGTAATAATAAGAAAAAATATATATTATGATTCTATAAAACTTTCCCTAAAATGTTCAGATATATATAAGCTTGGATTGAGTTTGGTAACATCATGAGAAAAAAATTAATATAGACAAAAAATATTAATATTTATATTTTTAGATCATCATGTTATAGGTGTAAAAATCTATAAAAAAAACAATTATGATAAATTTTTATAAATACAAATTGATTGATTATCTTTAATGAAGTTTTCTCCTAATCACATTTATTTAAGTCAATGAATGATTTACTCAAAGTGTAATTCCAAATTTTAAACAATAAAAAATGCCAAAAAGAAAGAATAACGGTCACTCATTTATAAATAACAATATTATTGACATCAATAATTAATCATTGACAGTGAGAAAAATAATAAAATGGTATAAAACTTAAAAGAAATTGACAAAAATAACCGATGACGTTACTTCAATTTTTTTTTTTTTGTGTACAATAGTGATAATAAAGATGTATAAATTACTTCAATTCCTCACCCTTAGCTGATTTTAGTGGAAGACATTATGCCTCTATTTTATGGTGCACAATTAACTATATTTTGTATTGATAACAGTTGCACTACTAAAAAAAATTATGATTTTTATTATTGTGTAAAATATAGTCTAATATGAAATATTTAATAAATTATTTCAATAATTAGAATATTTTATTTTATTTCCTTAATCGTGACTTCATTAACTGGTAAAGAAAAAGAAATATAAAGAAAAGAGAAGGAAAATAGATTTTAAAAAAGTATAAAAATAGATTACGAATGTTGTTTGATAAAAAAAAATATAGAGTGAAAGTTAATATTTCAAGAGACTATGTTTATATAAAAACATTTTATGTATGTTACGGAACATTTTTCTTTTGTTAAAGTTCTGTGCAATTTTCCTCATTTGAGAGGACATGCACGTTTTATGTTGCGAGTCTAGCATAAATTTTTTTTTCTTTAAATTTTTGTTCATTTCTCTTGTATCAAATAACACTATTTAGAATTGAGTTAGACTCAAATTTACTATTCTAAGATGTTATCAAAGTCATCTAAATTTACTCTAAATGAGTCACCTGCAATTAATACATGCACCATAAGCATGAAGGGGTCTATCGAGAAAAATTCAAGTCACACATTAACTAGAGATTGAACAATTAAATAGTATATAAATAGAAAATAATCTTCACCTTATAAGCTAATTTTGTAAGGTTGAGTTAGACTCAAATCCTCTATTTTAAGATATACCATATATAAAAATTTTATACTAACAATTATTTAAAAAAAATTATTTCATAACTTTTAAAGTGATTATTATAAACCTTATAAGCCAGTTTTGTAAGATTGAGTTAAGCTTAAATGCATTATTCTAAGATATATCATATATAAAATTTTTATACTAACAATTATTTAAAAGTAATTATTTCATAACTTTTAAAGTGATTATAATAAACTATTAAATTTAAATTTATAGTATACAGTAATTTATAATTATAAGACTATCGATATATAAATTATTTACTCTACCATCAAATTAAAACACCTTATTAATTACGATAGTTAAAAAATGTAATTCAAAAATTCACGCATAAGAGTATAAGACTAGATTATTTAAAAAGAAAATGATTAAAAATATAAACTTTTTATACTATTGTCTAATTTAAATTATTAAATCTATAATAATTATTTTAAATCATATTTAAATTATTATGCAGTTATAAGTCTTAATCATATTCAAATTATTTTAAATTATGAAATATAATATTAATAATGAAAAAAACTCAAAAATAAATTATTAATCCAAAAGCATAGCACTTTTTTTTTAATTTTACACTTCCCTCAAGAAAAATTTATATTATTTAATCTAATTAACATATTTTTTTCAAAAATATACTTTTTATTTGGGGATTTAGAAATTTTATTTATTTATTTATTTTTATCTTTGTTGAAATATAATACACTCCAACTTAGAAAGAGAGTAAGAGAGCTAGTGTGAGAGGGATTTTGTTTTCTTTTTTTTTTTTTTTCCTCCTTTCCTCCTTGGCTTTTTCTCCTCTTTCTTCCTTTTGTATAGTTGACCAGAGTAGTTGAGTTGTTGGTTAGGTTTGGAACCATACAAAGTTGTGCAGAGCGTCCTTCTTTTTCCCTTTCTCTTATTGATTTCGATTTTACAAGAGGTAAGGGAAGCTTGCATTTTTTCTGTATGAGACGTGTGTTGACAATTGCATCTGGAAATCGTTAATTTCGTACTATGTTATTTATTTCCTTGGTGGCTAAGTTGAGGGTTTGGTTTTGTTCTTAAAGTTACCCATGAGGGTATTATGAGGAATGTTGAAAATTTATGGTTGCATGTGATGTTTAAGCTACTTTTGAGTTATTTTTTATGCCTATATGTTACCTTGTTGGTTGTATGTTGGCAATTTATTAGTTTTTAGGTGTATTGTGCGAAGGAATCAATTATGCATATGTGTGGAATTGATGTCGTGACAAGTTGCCTTTATCGCACTAGACATAGTTCAATCAAAGGGTTCTCCTTTTACACATTGGACACATGATTGTTGATGTCGAGCGTGAGAAGAGGAATAGCCTCGTGTTGGGCTAGTGTCAGGCGTGATCCAAAAAGCCCCAAGTGTAAGGAGAGAGACTCGTCTTTGTTTGGGTTCATGCCGAAAGCTTATGGGTGCGCATGACGTTCGGCATGATTCAGGCAAAGATCCTATACCAAAATTGGGATCGGGCGTAGGTTTTTCCATGCTAGGTGCGATAGAGTGTGTCACTCTCTACCTCAATCATGCTGGACACGAGTGGTTCAATGTTGGGTGTGAGCAAGATAGGAAGTTTTGTGTCTCGATGGCGTTGAACATCGTTTGAGTAATGTCGAGCACGACATACCTGTTGTATACTTACTATTTTATGATGATTTATTGATGGATATTAATGACCATGATGTATGTATGATGATATATAAGGATAAATACCTATGTTGTAAGTTGATAGAGGAATTGATGATGTTAAGATGTAATTTGTATGTTGTATAGCTATTAAGTTGTGAAGTCGTGGATATGCGGTTGAGATAAATGTCTTAATTAAGATACATAAATGCTAGAGGTGAATTATGTTGTTTTAAAATTAGTTCTCCCTTTAGGGTTTAAGTGGATTGATATGGAAGCAGTCGAACCATATCCTAAATGACTAACCGAGTAAAGTACAAAGTCGAATACTTTATCTTTAACTTAGTTTTGGAGGGTCGTGGTATTTAGAGAATAGTCACTAGATTAATCTCATAGGTGACTTAGTGTTGCAAACTAATATCATGGTAGATCCATACTCAAATTGTTCTACCTTAACATATAATACCATACTTTCTAGTTTAAGTTGCAAAACCTAATAAATCAAACTAAGTTATTTATATCTAGCTCTCTTTGAGGCCTAATGTTGTACTATACTTGACCTGACTAAGATAGGTCTAACATTGTGGTTCAGTAGAGTCAAATCACTTAAATTGCTCACCTTAATTATAGGAGATTTGGTTAGTTGACATATGTGATGACACATTAGTTATTAATATCTGTATGCTGAGGTATTAAGTATATGAAAATTGGTAAATGTTGAGTAAGCTTTTAAGTTTTGAGTTGTGCTATTGTGGATATATTCTTTTGTTGGCTTTGTTGTATTGTTGTATTATTGTATTTTGTTTCTTTTGTAAGTTTACCTTTCTTTTGCTTGTGATTGGAACTGCGAACAAGGACGGATTAGGTGGTTAATTAGAGTGATGTGTTGAGTCATGCTAATTTATAAGAATTATAAGAATTTTCTTTGACGAAAGAGTTTATAAGAATTATAAGAATTTTCTTCGATGAAAGAGTTTATAAGAATTTTTAAATTTTTTATCTAATTTAATTTTTATTTATCGTTACAACAAGTGTAAGTCTAAACATTTATACCAAATTTTATGTTTTTAATAATTTTTTATATAATATAAATTTAACTGATTCAATCTTTGAATTGTGTGATGTTATATACAAGATCATTTATATCAAATTTTATATAGATACATTTTCCAAAAATAAATATTTACACATATTTTAAATAACATATATGTTAATTTTAAATAATATAATGAATTAATAAATAATTTTAAAATTATATAAAATTTGATATAAATGATATTGAATATAATATTATATAATTCAACAATTAAATTAGTTAAATTTGCATTATAAAAAAGTTATTAAAAATATAAGATTTAATTTAAATATTTAGAATTACATCTACTACGAATCTTTAACTCATATATATATATATGTAGGAGTGCATATATATATATATATATTTATATTATAAATTTTAATTATTTATAATAAATATACATGTACATTTTAGAAACTAAAGTACTAGTATATAGCAAATAAATAAAAATTTATTTTACTATATAAAAATTAATTTTTTATTAAAATAATGAACCAAATCTATTTGTATCGTACACGTAAAGTGACTAGTTAACTTTTATAATAAGTATTTCAAAAGTTATTTTTATATATTAATTTATTTAGAATATTTTCACACGATTATGTTTTATTTATAAAAAAATAATTACATTCGTATAAAAATTATAAAATGCTAATTAATGTTTTATTTTTTCAAAGTTTAATCCAAATATAATAATAGTATTTAATTTAAATTGTACTTTTGATCTTTCTATTTTTTTTTCAATCTATAACTTTAGTGTATTTATTTTAAAATAAAAATATTTAATTTTTTTAATTTTAAAATATGAAATTTTGGTTATTCTATCAAATTTAAATCTATTAATTATTTAATTTTAAGGTTTATTCATATTTAAATCATATAACATCTAGTAATATAATATTTACAGATAAAAAATAAATAAAATTAATTTATTAATAAAATAAATATTAATTAATTATTTAAATAAATATAAATAAAAAAATTTAATTATTTTTTAATTTCTATATTTACATTTTAAATCATTAAATATCATGTCATAGTGATTAAAGTATATAAATTTAATAATTATTAAACATTAAATTAATAATGAAATCAAAATTTTATATTTTTAAAAAATATAAAAATTAAATGTTTTTATTTCAAAATACAGAATAAAAATCAGGATAAATTAACTGTAAGTTGATAATTTTGTATTTTTAAAAATATAAAAATTAAATATTTATATTTCAGTAGACAGGGTGGGAGGGTCTTGTCCTCTCCAGAACTCTCTCGTTAGTTCTCCTTCACTGTTGAAGCTTTATGGAATGGATCAACCTCTTCCACTCTCGACTTTTCTCCACCCTTCGCTCTTCCCTTTATATCTCAACTTCTCCACCCATCGGAACCAATCAACATAGCAGTCACTCTTTATACTCACATTCACGTACGCAACCAAAACCTTAACTTCTATCTATGGCTACTTCCAAGAGCAAGAGCATTGGCATTGACCTCGGCACCACCTACAGCTGCGTGGGCGTGTGGCAAAACGACCGCGTTGAGATCATCGCCAACGACCAAGGCAACCGAACCACCCCTTCCTATGTGGCTTTCACCGACACCGAGCGTCTCATCGGGGACGCCGCAAAGAACCAAGTCGCCATGAACCCACAGAACACCGTCTTCGACGCCAAGCGCCTCATCGGTCGCAGATTCTCCGACCCCTCCGTCCAGGCCGACATGAAGCACTGGCCCTTTAAGGTTGTCCCCGGCCCAGCCGACAAGCCCATGATCGTCGTCAACTACAAAGGCGAAGAGAAGCAATTCGCCGCCGAAGAGATTTCCTCCATGGTCTTAACCAAGATGAAGGAGATCGCTGAGGCTTACCTCGGCCACGCCATCAAAAACGCCGTCGTCACTGTCCCTGCTTATTTCAACGACTCTCAGAGGCAAGCCACTAAGGACGCCGGCGCCATTGCGGGACTCAACGTCATGAGAATCATCAACGAGCCTACCGCTGCTGCCATCGCTTATGGTTTGGACAAGAAGGCTTCGAGGAGTGGCGAGAAGAACGTGCTTATCTTCGACCTCGGTGGTGGAACCTTCGACGTGTCGCTTCTCACCATTGAGGAGGGGATTTTCGAAGTGAAGGCCACTGCTGGAGACACTCATTTGGGTGGTGAAGATTTTGATAACAGGCTTGTCAACCACTTTGTGGCTGAGTTCAAGAGGAAACACAAGAAGGATATAAGCACAAGTGCTAGGGCTCTCAGGAGATTGAGAACTGCATGTGAGAGGGCTAAGAGGACTCTCTCTTCCACCACTCAGACCACCATTGAGATTGACTCTCTCTACGAAGGTATGTCCGCTTCTTCTTTGCAAGTGAGCATCTCAATGAATATTTTATATTTTAGAGATTTGAAATTGAAAACTTGAGTTGTTTGGATCAGGTATCGACTTCTATTCCACCATCACGAGGGCGAGGTTCGAGGAGCTCAACATGGACTTATTCCGCAAGTGCATGGAGCCTGTTGAGAAGTGTTTGAGGGACTCCAAGATTGATAAGAGTCGTGTTCATGATGTTGTCCTTGTTGGGGGATCCACAAGGATTCCGAAAGTGCAGCAACTGTTGCAGGGTTTCTTCAACGGGAAAGAGCTATGCAAGAGCATCAACCCTGACGAGGCTGTTGCTTATGGTGCTGCAGTGCAGGCTGCAATTTTGAGCGGTGAAGGGAACGAGAGGGTTCAGGACTTGCTTTTGCTTGATGTCACTCCTCTCAGCCTCGGCATTGAAACTGCAGGGGGTGTCATGACAGTGTTGATTCCAAGGAACACTACAATTCCCACCAAGAAGGAACAGATTTTCTCCACTTATGCTGATAACCAACCAGGGGTGTTGATTCAGGTGTATGAAGGTGAGAGAGCGAGGACCAAAGATAACAACTTGTTGGGGAAGTTTGAACTCGCGGGAATCCCTCCAGCACCCAGAGGAGTTCCTCAAATCAATGTGTGCTTTGACATTGACGCGAATGGGATTTTGAATGTTTCTGCCGAGGACAAAACTGCAGGGGTGAAGAACAAGATCACAATCACGAATGATAAGGGAAGGTTGAGCAAGGAAGAGATTGAGAGGATGGTGCAGGAGGCAGAGAGGTATAAGCAAGAGGATGAGGAGGTGAAGAAGAAGGTGGAGGCCAAGAACGCGTTGGAGAATTATGCTTACAGCATGAGGAACACGGTGAAGGATGAGAAATTTGCAGGGAAATTGAGCCCTGGTGATAAGCAGAAGATTGAGAAGGCTATTGATGAAACTATTGAGTGGCTTGAGAGGAACCAGCTGGCAGAGGTGGAGGAATTTGAGGACAAATTGAAGGAGTTGGAGGGACTTTGCAATCCAATTATATCTAAGATGTACCAAGGTGGTGGCGGTGATGTGCCAATGGGTGGTGCAGGTGATGTTCCTGGTGGTGGATATGGAAAATCATCCACTGCTGGTGCTGGTGATGGGCCCAAGATTGAAGAGGTTGATTAAAATTTTAAGAGTTATCTGAATTTAGAATTCCCTCCTTTAATGTTGTCCTTGTTTGTGTTATACAATGCTTTCCATAGTTGTACTTGAGTGAGTGTGTGAGTGGTTTTACAAGAGTTATGTAAAATAATTTCCTACATGTAGAACAAGTAAACACTGCATTTTGTGTTTCTTCATAATTTTTTTGTACTTTTTAAAGATATGAATCCAAAACAGTAAGATTCATTTTGATTTCCGAGTGAACAATTTGTGACTTAAATTAACTGTTCAATTATCTATATGCCTTTATTATTAATTGGTTTATATACAACAATTAGTGGGATAATTCAACATTCTTGGCAAATTATGTTAGAATAGTGGATTAAGCCTAACTCAACCTTACAAAACCGGCTTGTAAAGTGAGAGTTGCTTTCTACTTATATACTATTCAATTGCTTAATTGCTAATCGATGTGGGATTTGAGTTTTTCCCAATATACCCCCTCACGTCCAGCACTAAGTAGATCTAAATGGCTTTGATACCATGTTAGAATAGTGGATTAAGTCTAACTCAACCCTACAAAACCGGCTTGTAAGGTGAGGGTTGTTTTCTATTTATATACTATTCAATTGCCTAATCTCTAGTCGACGTGGGACTTGAGTTTTTCCCGATACATCCCCTCACGTCCAGCACTATTGGGCTTGGTATGTGAATAAATGATGGGTGACCCTTTTTAATGATCTAGGATTGGCGGGAGTTGAGTTATTCCCAATAAAATAATGGCTGTATTGCTTCCCTGGACACGTTCTCAAGCAGCAGAAGACAGACAGAAAAAGAAACAGCATTTGGTCCTTTCTTGGACCATTGTTCCGCCAATAAAGAGTCGGATCATGATATATACATTTTTTTTCCTAATAAGTACATTCCTTTCTTTAAAAAAAATTAAATTCATAAAATATTTTTAATTTTTATTATTTTAAATTTTTTAATTTTACATTTCTAATATTTAATTTAACATTTGTTTTTATATATCTCTTTCTCTTATTTTTACATGTACTTCTTTAATTTTTTTTCACTCTACCTATTTTGGTAATTAATTTTAATTATTTTAATTTTATATTATTTTTTTTCTTTTCCTCTTTTAATTTTCTTGCTGATTTCATTATCCGCATAGTACTTTAAAATAGTAAAAATGTTTTTTTTTCATAACATTAAACTTAATATTAAGGTTTTTGGAAAGGTGAAAGAAAAGGAAGTGTTGGAAGGAAAAATGTGTGTTTAGTTTGATAAAAACTATCAAAGAAGTTACATGTATCTACAATGTTGTCGCGTACCAATTTTATGATTTAAGTACATGTGAAAAAGTGAAAAATGTGAGAAAATAGGAGAGTAATATAAAAATCGAGAGAACTGAAACTACCCACTCAAATAAGTGAGAAATTAGAGGAAGACAAAATAATGTATGTGAAAATTATAAAATAGAAGGAAAAAGGTGTGCGAAAAGAAAAAATAATAAATTGAAAGTTAGATATGTAAAATTAAAAAAAAAAAAAAAAGAAGTTATAAATATTTTAAGATTTTTTTTAAAAAAATAAAGGAGGTGTACTTATAATAATTAAAAAAAAAAAAGAGGTGTATATATTTAGCCTAAAGAGTGACATAATAGTTACAGAAGAGGACAAGTGTTTGGTTTAGAGATCCATATCTGTTGGGCCTCTGAGGAGAGTCGAGTCTCATTGCGAAGAAGGAAGCCCGTGGTAGCTAGATTCTTGGCTCATGATATATACATTTCTTTTTTTTTTTTTATAAGTACACCTCTTTTATTTTTTTAAAAAATTATAAAATATTATAATTTTTTTTAGAATTTTTAATTTTACACTTCTAACTTTTAATTTTTTACTTTCTTCTTTTATTTTACACATTTTTTTCTCTTTTAATTTTTACATACTATCAAAATAGGTGGGGTGAAAAAAAGGTAAAGAGAATGCATGTAAAAATTGAAAAAAAGAGGAATGATATGTGAAAAAAAATTACTAAAATAAAATGTTGTGGATGTAAAATTAAAAAATTTTAAAAAAATTAAGAATATTTTAAAAAAAAAAATTTAAAGGAGGTGTACTTATAAAAAAAAAAAGAGGTGTATATATCATGAACCTAGATTCTTTTATGAACGAAAGAATGGGCTCTTGGGTCACGAACAAACAAGAACCAAAGTCCATCGCAACAAACCCAATCATGCTTCTTTTATTTATTTTTTTTCCCCTTACAAGTAGAAACTGAGATAACACCAACCCTCGTTACATTTAAATAGTTTACATAACGGCCATATTTAAATGAATTATACAAGATAAATCATAATTAAAAAATATCTTACCCTAATTACTAACTTTATATTTTAGTTTTTCTAAAACATGTGTTTATTAATATCACCTAAATTGATTACTCCTTTTATACATAAAAAATTTAAATAAGGTTTTTATTAAAAATAAATATGGATTTTTTTAAGACAAAGGCTTTCTTATAAGATTATTTAATTGATACAATGTAAAAGTTAATAGAAAAAGAGCGTTATAATATTTTAAGAAAATAAAGAGCAATATAAAAATAATATATCACTTCTTCTCATAATGTTAATTCATTTATATGTTAAAACTCATTTTTTTATTATTTGAATTTTTTCCTGATTTAAAAAGTTCCAAGGTCATTGATATGTATTTTTATTCTGTTTCATTCTATTGTAACATAATATAAATATAAAAGGAATGTCATGTACCATAGACTATTAAAGACACAAATTATTAATTATTCCATTTATAAATTCTATCATCATCAACAATTAAGTTCAAAAAACTTAAATAACTTTAAATATATTAATTAAATATATAATATTTACAAAATTATATTTTTGTTTACATAAATAAAAAAGAAATAGACCCAAAAAGAGTTGCTTAAATAAAAAATTTGAAAACAAGAGATAGAAATAAAGAGAGATTTGGTTAATGAATGAATAAAGTCATACACATTAAATATTTATTATTTTTTATCTAAATAATTTATTAATCGTATTTATAATTTAATAAGTTAAATTAAATTAACATTAATGGTAATCTTTATTTTTCAAAAACTAAAAAAGTAATTTATATCTTTTAGACAAACCTCAAAGAAAATCAATGCCATTTCCTCTATTTATTTTTTTATATCATATTATGTATCACACGTGTTATTTTTTCCCATCTTCTTTTCCTTTTTTATTATCTATGTTTCCCTTATACACACCCAACGTGAAACATACGTCCATCGTAGCTTATTAAACATGTTCACACAAACACACAAAATAGGTGATTAAACAATTCATAGTTTTAATCTACATGAAATTTGGGATCTTCCAAAAGCATATGCCACCAGACACGTGGAATTAAAAAATAGTCTTTTACACTTTCAAGTCCTTGATATAAAATATTAATTATTTAGCAATTATATCATGGCAGCAAGGGTTAATTAATCATTTCTAAACATGCGAATTTTTCTTTCTTTTTTAAAAATAAAAAAATAAAAGACAAAGAAAGGAAAGAAGTAGACAGGGTCCACGTTACATAGGGCATAAAATAAAATAAAGGGACAATTCTTGCACATGAAAATTTCCACCAAAACAAGAAATCTGGACCGTTAAAAAAGGTGAAGTTCATCGTGATGGTCCCATAATACAATTATCAGCATCTGCGTGTAGGTTGTTAGAGACAAAGAAAGCAAGACCTTTAGATGGTCGGAAGATCAACAAGAAACCCAAACACAAACATAAAGTCTCTCTCTCTTTCTTTTTTCTTATATTATTATTATTATTATTGTTTTGTGTTCCTTGGAGGGTGCTGATGCATGTGTTGAAGTTCTGAATTTGTAGCATCTATGGAAACACGTGAAAGGGATAACAATAGTAATATGAAGATGGTCATAGATGATGCTTTGAACGGCTTCTCTCCTGTCTCAACCCCTAGGATTTTCTGGAAATCTCGAAGAAGATCAGGTACTAACATCTTAGCTTCACCTACCTACTTTTCTTTTCTCTTTATACTTTTTCTTCTTTCAATTATTTTTTTTTTTCTGTGACATTTCCAAACAACCTCTTACAAACCCACCATTAAATCATGTGATACTGTTCAGATTTGGTCCTTTGGATGTGGAATTCATTGTTTTTGGTGATTTTTGCATGGAATATTTTATATTAACACGCTCTCTTCTTTCAAAACTTTCTATCTGTGAATTTGCACGATTTGGAACTGAACTGAGGCTTCCTTTTTTCAAATTTAGCTTTGTTTTTGCTGGGATTGGTTTCTGTAATACCTGCAAAATTGTTTAGTGTTTAAGAGAGAGAGAAGCGTAAAACAGGTTTTAAGTTTTAACGGTTGGTGTGACTTTTATGTTACGTTGCTTTATTTGTTATAATTGGCTTACCCAACTTCGGCTTTGTCTCGTTATCAGTATGCTAAGATAATTATAATAAAATTATTTAGAAGAAATTATGAAGTACGGATTAACTTGTTAGTTGATTAGTAGCTATGGCTCAGTTCCGAGCTAACTCAGATCTTTATCAAATAATAATAAATGGCACACGAAAATTTTAAGCATCTTGTTAAAAGTTATTTATTTATTATTTTTTTTTTTTTGTGGTGAGGTGATCCTATATATTGATGATTTATTGTATTTTGTGAAGAACAGAAAAAAAAAAAAAGCGTGTGGGTGTTGAGATAGTGTAGTCATCATCATATCTTTGGTTACACTGTTGGACAGCTCATCCTCCAACCAACTATAACTCTATAAGGTTTCCTTGCATATGTGAAGTGAATTTCAATTTTTGATGTCGCTCTTGTTACAGATGAGACATCTAAAGGAAATCGCCAATGTGCGTACATTAGCATTTAAATCGTTTTGGCATCCATACTCAACTATATTTTAGGCAATTCAATAATAGCTAGTGGCCTAACCTTGACTCAAAATGAAGTCAATTTGTCCATCCAAAAGAATAGGTTAATCTATAATATAAACTAGTATGCCATTATGCCAGCCGTATGGCATGTTGATATTGGTATAGATTCGTGTAAAATAAGACCTTTGAAATTAGGCTATGTTCAACCAACACTAGGGAGGGGACAATATAGTAATAATATTATGCATGATCCCTTACATTCTATTTAATTCCGTATAACTGCTTGTTAGTTGCCTTGTTTCTATTGGCTTATATATTTGAACAAAGTTAGATGCTGAATTAATCTGTTCTCGTAAGTTAATATTTTTCATAGAAATTTTCTCAATTTAACTTCAAAAACTGAAGTACTACTATAAGAGAATCCCAATTGATTTTGCCTTCTTATTTTCTTGTCTTATAAGTGTTTTTGCAAAAAATAAAAAAATCTAAATAGGACCTTAAACAATATTAGACCATGATGAATCATCTGATCGAAATTGATATTTGATCTCACTATTTTATTGAAAAGTTATTCATCTTGACAATAATATATATAAAGGTTGTTTGGATAAATTTTTTTAGAAGTATTTTTAGTAGAGAAAAAACAAATAAATTTCTCCATAAGATAAAATTAACTTTTCTAAAATGTTATTTTTAATTAATAGATAAGTTAATTTTAACTTATAGAGAAGTTTATTGTAATTTATCTTTTTATTTTTCTCTTTTAAAAAAACCATATCCATTTTATTGAATGCAATGGATAATTGGATGACTAGTTTGCCAAGAACTTAGAGCAAACAAGGTTTTTACATTTAATTGTCCTTATGGTTGTGCAAATTTACTGTCTCTAAATGAGGTGCCAAAAAACAAAATGGTAACTTGTTCCCCACAGCTAGCGGGAGGAATTTAGAGGTATCAGAAGATAGTGCTAATATACCACCCTCCAACTCCAAGCAGGAAGATTCTCCTCCTGTTCCTGATCCTCCTAGTGAGGAGGTGCAGAACTCAACACCAATTTCTGAGCGTCGAAAGGCCTTGTTTGAACCATTAGAACCTATAAAGAACATTAATGGCCGACGACCCTCGGCTGAGTCTTTACTTCCTCCTCCTGACTTTGAGTCTGCAAACTACCCAAAGGGCTGGTTGATTGGAAAGAAGAGAAAGCTTGTTAATGTTGATGTTGTTGAAAGCATGCGAAGGATTGCCGTCCAAGAAATGAACAGAAAGGTTCAAACTTTTCTCAACACCATCACTTCCAAGCTAACCAAGACACTACTATATGCATGTTTGTGTGAACACTTCTAGAGAAAGAAATACGAAGGAAAATTACAATAAATTTCTTTATAAATTCAAAATAGTTTATGCATAAACTAAAAATACGATTTTGAAGAAATTAGTAAAAGAAAGTTTCTTCAAATTATTTTGTGCATAAATTAATTTTGACTTGTAAAAAAATTTATTTTATTTTTCTTTCTTATTTTTCTCTCTTGTAATGTTTCCGAAGAAATTGATCTAAAGCTTCAAACTAAGCCACTTGCTTATTATTGATTATCTTTTGTTGTTGTTATTGTTGTTGCAGGACAGGGAAATTGATGGGCTGAATGAACAACTAGAGGAGGATTCACGATGTCTAGAGCACTTGCAACTCCAGCTTGTGGAAGAACGAAGCAAACGTGCTCGAGTGGAAAGAGATAATGCAATGCTTCAAGAGCAAGTGAACATGCTTATGAACATGTTACAAGAAGCAGAACAAATGGGAGATGATGGCCAAGATGAGCCTTAAAAGTATATTATGTGTGTTTGTGTGCATTAAATTCTTTTTGTAGATTTTGTTTGTCATGTCTAGTTGGCTGCGCATATCTGCAGTTATTAGAGTGCATATAGTATTATTTGGGGGGAGTAGATCAAACCGCAACGAGCAAACTATTAGTTTATCTAAACAAAAAAAAAAAAAAAATTGTAAATCTTCTGGTTACTCTATGGCTGTTAATTTATACCTTGTTACTCTTTAAGCTATAAAAGAGTATTCAGTATTGTATTCTATGTTGAATAAAGATCGGTCGAGATTATTTTCATATCCTGGCCTGTTACCAGTTTATGCTACAATTTATTCAAGACTAAAGAAGGCAACAACGAATTTTGTCAAGCGTTCCTCAAGCTTTACTTTTTCTAGTTAAAACACAGACATAAGACATTCCATGTCTTTGTGTATGTTGTTGAGTTTTTTAATTAAAAATGAAAAGATGATTAAGAGTTGTAAGTAACTGCATAACTGATGAGAAGTGATTTTCAGAATCAAAATAATAATAATAATGTTGTTTAAAAAATTGTATACACCAAATATAGATATTTCTTTTATTAGTAGTACATACTTCTCTTATCTTTTGTTTAGCGGAAAATATAGTGTCCCGTCATGTCTGTCGGGATTCATCATCAATGTAAATTTCTGAATCCCACGCAACTAACAGCAGATACAATATTCACATTGTTGAAAGAGACTATAATAGCTTTCTTGTTTCATGCAAGTGTTGATAGATAGTAATTATCTAACTTTATTAACAGAATCCTCCGACATGTGAAACAAAAACTGAGGCAGAGATGCGATCCTTGGAAGATTAAGAAGCAAATCACCAGCTGATTCCTTCCTTGACATGCCACTCCCCTGCTTGCAGCCAGAAGCATCATCAGGTTGACCTTCCAAATCATCCACTTTGGTTTTGCAAGGTGACAATTGAGTGGGGTTGTTCACACCAACTTTTCCATCTTCATCTGCATCAAGACCATTTCCATGTCTGGTCATTGTGTCTTCTGCATGAGAAGGATCCTTGTGCAGAAGGGAGTAGAGCGAGTTCACCCTTGACATCACATACTGTTCATCAGAGGTAGTCTTTGCATTGCTATTTCTGGTCATTGTGTCTTCTGCGGTAGAAGGGTCCTTCTGCAGAAGGCAGTATAGTGAGTTCACCCTCGACATCACATACTGTTCATCAGAGGTAGTTGCATTTTGAGAGTCATTGAACAAGTATTGCGTAAATTCTTCCAGGATGGATCTGCTATGCTGGCCATCAACAGAGTTGGGGTTGTCAGAACCCATTTGTTCTGAAATGCAATGTCCAATGTGGCTAACCAAATCGTCCATTGACATAGAAGGGTGAAGTCCTGGCAATTTGATCTGATCCAAATTACTAAGAAACTTCAAAGTTTCAGCTCCTCTACTCCTGAAATCTTTCGTTGCGTGGATGTTCATCACTGCACATGATAAATACGTTGTTATGTATAATATTTGGATAATGATAACACGAGGTGTAGAATGAACATAATGTCATTCATATTTTACACAAATGCTATTATATTACTACATATAATAAGGCGGTGGCTGAACCTTACTTATACGTAAGAAATACATATATAAAAAACAAACGCGTGTATAGCAGCATATCATCATAAGAAATACACTACAAAATAATAGCTACAACAAAATGATTTCAACACCTTCTCCTTGTTGCATAGTGCAGAGGTAACAATCTCTTAGAATTGAGAATCAATTTAATTAGTACCATACGTCACGACATGGATATGAGAACAGATATAAGAATATGACAATTTTTCGAAATTTAGGATACAATACATTCTACATATGCCTATAAAATTTTATTAAAAAAAAAAAAAGCAATGTCCCAAATAAAGAATTGTCCTGGATACGTTCTGGACACATCTATGGTTTCTTGCTTATTGTATCACTCTTCTCCCCTATTACCATCATCTAGAATATAAACATAATTTCAAATTTTGGTTCATTAAGAGACGACTCTACCAATTAAGAAAGTCTAACACCATCACCAAGTGGATGATGAATATTCCATCAATGTCCCACAACCTAGACTCCTTTTTTATGCCTTCATTTTCCATAGACAAAAATTGAAACTTGAAATGCACATAAACCAAATCTTATCCATTTTGTGAGTATGCTCGCCAATTCCTTACATTGGATGAAAATGTGAAAAAAAAAAGTTACACAACTATACAAAAAGCTTTAGGATACTTTTCAGATACGTATATAGAAGTATCCAATAATAATTGGAGAAAAAAAGGTTAAAAATAAATAAAAAAAGATTGGATACTATTAGATATGTATCCAAGGAGTATCAGTATTGGATACATATCCAAAGAGTATCTGTATCCGACAAAGTAGACAAAGTTACGAAACCGATACTTTTCCATTTTTGGAGTATCCGGACTTCATTGCTTGTTTTTAATAGTAATTCATTGCCAATGTGAGAAGGACTAAATCCCCCTCCCTCATCCGGTTTATGGGTTCAGTTAAACGTCCAAGACATTTTGACATAATCGCTTGACACTATACACGCCAGATAGGTTGATAGATATATGCAAGAATATCGGATCACATATCTTCACCAATGACTTTCAGTAATATTTGAGATAGCGTAGTCAGTAAATAGTGTCAAATTTCAAGAGTCAAGAAAGCCTACAAATTTGTACCCACATTGATAGATGAATATCAAGAGTCAAGACGAATGCTACTGGTGATTTTAATGGATAGGATAAACAAACAAATGCATTTACCATCATACCGAATTCAAATGATATATAAAAAAATCAGCAGCAAATTACCTGAGCTAGGTGAGGTAATTTCTTGGTTAACATTTTCAACAGCTTTACCAAGATTATGTTCACTTTTAGAGGAAGATGATTGAACAGCAGATCCTGACTCCACATCCTGCAATCCAAAAATACCAGCTTGCTCTTCGCTTTTTCTATCAAAACCGTCACTGGATTCAATGTGGTCGTGAATAGAAGTTGTTCCGGGTTCAAAATATGGAGAATCCAACACCAAATCCGGTTGCTGGCTTAGAAAGTTGAGCCGGGGATCACACTGAATGAGCTTCTCAAAATGCTTCCCTAGCAATCCTTGCGGACACTGCAGAAAATGTCGCCTATAACATCACAAGAAATTGCATCACCATCACCATTCACCACCAAAGAGTAAATATAAATAAAAAATAAAAAAAAAGAGACAAGACCGATACCATAAATCATAATAGTACCTGTGTGTGCTGGCTTGTCCACCAGTAAAGTCTGATGTTGCTTGCCACAAGGTATGCTTCCTTGGCTGTGGATTGATCTCCCTAAAAAACAAGGGTCTTCTTGCCAGCTGGAACAAAACAACAGCAACATCACCAACTTAGTGCCACAGATAATTGTGATGCCAAATCTCTAATATCAATTAAAATAGAAAAGAGGATGGCTTATGGTTACCACTTACCACTACTTCCAGAGTGCCTGGTCCATCCTCAGGGTAGTTTGCCTTGAGAGCCATGATATCAGACCATGGTATTTCAATCTTATTCTTGAGACAACCATCAAGGACTTCCCACACCAGCTTATGCTTTGCAAAGTAACACTTCGCCACCAAGTCCCCTTCGTATCTAGACTTGTACTGCAATGAAGTCATCGAAAACAAAATTAGCAAACTACCATATGCAGTTATGCACATCAAATCATTCACATCATGAAATCACGAGCGTACCTCCCAAGTCCCAATTTTCAAAAGGGTACCAGGAAAATTGGAAGCCTTGAGCTTAGAATCCGCAGCAGCAGCAGCAGCAGCAGAAGAAGAAGCCTTTTGATCTTTCTTTTTGGACTCCTCTTGTTGGGAGAGCCTCATCTGAATCAAATCCAAAAGGGAAGGACTCTTCCTGAGACGCAAACCCAGAGGACTTGGCTCATCCAAGGGATTATAAGAAGCTGGTGAGATTGAAAGAGAATCATCACTTGAACCACCCTGTTTCCAAAAAAAAAAAAAAATCAATTCGGTGTTAGCTAGAGAAATCAATCTACCCAGATAAGAATTTTATGACGGCATGAGAGAAATAGATTAAAAGTTAACTTTTTAGCAGAAAAATGAAACCTTGGTGGGAGATTCTAATTTGGGTCGCTTATGGGTGTGAAGAGGTGGGACTTCATCTTGAACCTCCAACTTGACCTTTTTCATGCAGTGATTATCCGCATCAGACCTCATTAGCTGAACCATGATATGATGCTGAATCAGAAGGTGCAACAAAATTCAATAACAACGTTTATCTGGAAACGAGAAGGTTTCTTCTACTTTGGCAGTCTTGGGCAATGGCGGGCGCGTAGGAAAGAAAGCCAATGTTTCTTCTCTTTCTTCTATGGCGGACTGTCACGTGCCGCGTACGAAACGACGCCGTATTTAAAAGTGGACAGCTGGGAAAAGCAGCGAAGCAAATGACAAAATTGGGCTGGACATAAGGGGAATATTTGTCGCGTAGTGTGGGCATAATTGTGATTAGCGTGAAACGGCGTTGTTGGGTGCCGTCTGGGAGGCACGTGGCGTCACGTGATGGAAGTGGATAAAATGTGGGACCCGGTTCATGAACCTTCTTCGTTGAAGTTGCGTGGTAGAGTTGGATGGACAGGTGGAAGGCTCTTGTGGGAGGGTTGAACACGTAAGCTCGTGAAGTGGGTCCCACCATATATGCCTTTCTGGATAATGCAAAACTTGTTATTATTTATTATTTCTTATTATGGGTTGGTTTCCTTTATCTATGGATAAACTTCAGCCTCCAAACCAAACCATCTTCAATCTTCATCTTCTCTTTCTACTTTTGCAAAACATTGCAATTTGTTTTATTTTAAATTAAATTATTGCAAAAAGTTGGCTGTGTAAGTGGGAGGAAAAGTGATAAGGGAATAAACCCATTTTTTTAAAGGGATTTGATTTGCCATTTCCGCCTACCTTTTTTTTTTTTTAATTTGCTTATTTTGAAGAGAAAAAAAAAAAAAAAAGGTGTAGTGAAACACGCATTTAGTTTTCGTTATCTAGAAAAAAAAGAAGTATAATAATAGAAAGAAGGTTTCTATTTTAAATTTTCTTCACCCACCCACCGCCAGCTTGACGGTAAACGTGCTGCAAAATTTGAATGATAAAAATAAAGGAAGTGGAGGAGAGGATCGCCCTAAAGAATAATGGTCAAAATTTTCGAATATCAAAATCCACATATATATATATATATATATATATATATATATATATATATATATATATAGATAAGTCAATTATTAAATTGCATATTTCTTCTGTATAAGTTTTTTTTCTAATGAAAAACAAATACGGTCGAATCAGTTAAAAAATATCATCAACGATAATAATTACATATTAAAAATTCAAATGTATGATTCACTAGTGTGAGAATTTAATTTTTAGAAACATATTTATTTAATTTCTTTTGAGATATAAAAATATTATAGTCAATATTGTCTCTCAACAAAATTTTCTTCTTTATAGAGAATAAATATTTTATGTCTCTATATATGTATTTTTTTAAGGTCTTAAAATAAAATGATTGTAACGTGTTCAAATTCATGTTTAAATAATCCAATGTTTAACCTTGTTGGTTTTTAGTATAAGATTTATTTAATTTAAACTTTTGCTTTTAAAAAAATGACAGACAAGCTAGACCTCCATAAAAGTAAGTCAATAAATCCAAGTGGAGCAAGTTGCCGAAAGAGGTTAGCAGCAATTTGAGAATTCGTAGCAGACTTATCGGACTCTTAAGAATATTATTATTGGATTGAAATTCCTAGTTCTAATACTTAATATTAAAAATTATATTATTCATAATATTGTTTTATTTTTATAATAATTTTTGTAATTTTTTTAAAACTTTTTCATCAAATTATTCAGTATATCACACGCCTCTCTTATCTTCTTTTATTTTACTCCAAATTTAACACAGACATAATAACAACTAATTATAGCATATTTTAATCCTTTTGTGAGCGAATTTACAAGTGGACGTCCTTTTTCAAGTTTCGGAAAGTACTTTTTTCAACCTTTGATTTACATTTCATTTGTCCATCAATCATTACAAATGTAGGGTTGAAGAAGACCAGGTGCTTCCTCTTCACTCTATCTTGAAAGGGTTTGCATTTTAAAATTAAACTCTTCCTAATTTATTTTTAGCACATTTGTAACTATGTAAGTTCTTAAATTTTTTTTTAGTAATAATTATTTATATATACAATATTTGAAATGTGTCATGTGTTGTGTGACTCTAAGAGTCGAAAGACTCTAAAAAATCTTATTAATTTTAAAAGTCTTTGGTTAGATGTTCAATTAAATTTGAGAAGAGGAAATATTTAAGATTTCTGTTTAAAATTGAATCACATAAACTCATTATTTTAAGATTTTAGAGAAAGAAACAAGAGATATAGACACCAGAAATTTTTTATTTTTACTTATTTCTTCTAAATATCTTGAAGGCGTAAGAGGTTTTTTTTATTCTTAGTATGGTGATCAAAAGCATTTAGGGGTTGAAAAATCTGAGTTGGGTGATTGCAGAGCTCGTGCAAGCTTAGAAGTTCATTTTCTCCTTTCTTCTTCATCTTGTTGCTTGAAGTGGGGTAAGGGAAGTTAAGAATGGTTGGTGTTGTATTATTTGTGTTGCATGTTAGTTGCTTACACTTATAATGTATGCTTGTTGGTGGATTTTTGGATGCTTGGGTGGAAAGGAATGGGTATTGGGGTTTTGAGCACTTAAGTGCAATTTGAGGGTTTGATCTCAAGTTTTATTGCATGTTGGACTTTTGGTGTGAAATGAGATAGGGTTGGTGTATATCCATGTTTGATACATTACATGCTTGGAAGTTTTTCTGATTTTCAAGTGGTTTTAGGTAAACTTTGAAGTCTGCATTTGCAAATCTTTGATGTCATGTTAGGCGCGTCTTCATGGTGTCAGGCACGCCTTCGTGGCTTCAGACGTAGTTCCAACCAAAGATTTCTGTCTCATCCATGCTATGCGCAGGGTGGGCGCTGTCGAGCGTTAAGAGAGATACTTATCTCAAGTTGGGGTGATGTTGAGCGTGATTTGAATGACGTTGGGCATGAAAGCATTGGAAAGTTTCTAACTTGGTGACATTGCCCCCAAATTGGGTGGCGCCAAGTGTGATCAAGGTAAGACTCTCTACGTAAATGACGTCAAGCGTGAGTTGAGCAAAAGCTTTCTACCTAATATGAGGTCAAGCATGAATTTTGTCATGCCAAGCGTGAGGTCCCAAGGGCTCCCCACCTCAATCACGTTGGATGCGGGTTAAGTGATGTCGAGCATGGACGAGGTAGAGAGCTCCCTATCTTAGTTGCGTTCGGCGTAGGTTATGTTGTTTGATGAATGTTTTGGTGAACATGAATAGAGTATGTGAGTCTATTGCATGTTATATGATTGTATGAGGGTGATAAACATTGATATACTATATATGATTGATATCCTACAGTTGCATGGTTGTGGTGTTGATTAAGCATTGGCCTTCTATACTTATGTAGTTGAAATAGTGATGAACATTGATATGTTATGTATGATTGATATGCTATAAATTTCATGGTGTGAGTGTTAAATAGGCATTGATATGCTATTATTGAATAAGTATTGAACATTGGTATGCTAGTCTTGGATGAGGTGTATAGCATTGGTATGCTAATTATGATTGATACGATTTGGTCTTTATATGTATTGACCTAAAATAATGTATATAGATGATATATGTTGAGGCGTTGATACTAAAAATGTTCTAGATATTAAAGCATGTTAATTGGCTTAAGACTAGAGGAGTTGTTGTTGTTTGAAAGTTGAAGATTCCATATAAAGAATCTTATTTTGGCACTCCAGTAGACCAATTGTTGAAAATCTTTCTTGAATAGGTGTGAAATTCTTAAAATGAATTTTGTTAAGTCTCCTCAATGTGGAGTAAAATATAAAGTTGAAGGCTGCAATCCTTAACTGATTATTGAAAAGGTTGTGCGATTCCTTACAGATAATTAGTGGGTTAACTTCATATCATGATATTTTATTTGACTTAGATGGAATTTTTTTCAAAAAAATACTAATATAGTTTCACATATATGTAAATTTACACTTCAAATTTTATGTAAATTGTTTAAATTTTCTTTCGACTAGTCTCATCACGAAAATTTCTAGCATAAAGTAATTTGTTAGAAGATTTATGGATATAATACCCAAATAAATAAGTTTTTAAGTGATTCATGCAAATAGTTATGAACCATAGGATATAGAACATTAAATGTAACGTTTCATCAATTTGCATTTTTGTCTTTACTTAAAAAAACAGTGATTTTTTGACTATGTGTGAAGTTTTGGAGTTATGTCCTTGCAACCCTGGAACTAGTGTCCTTTGGTGACAACAACTTCTCTGACGAGATTTCTCCTCCACCTCGACATCTTTGACAACAATCCCAATCTCACAAACTCATGAAACTAACCCACCTCAAATTTCAAAGCCATCTCTAGTCATTTCCCCAACACTGAACTTTGCAATCATATTCAACAAAGTCAGAAACGCAAGCTTCTGAAAACCAAGTCCTTTGTGGATCCACACTATTGCCGGAATGCCTTACCAACGAAACAGATTTAGGCATAGACAATTTTTCTTTAAAACTAAGCTTATTCTCGCAAATAAGTGAAATTTTGTGATTAACAATCCTTAGGAAAGAAGGGTTGAGCGGTTAACGGAGTTTGTGGCAGTGTTCGCAATGACACACCACTACATTGCATTGCAACGGCGTTGTTTGCGGTGGCACAGGGAGACACTCTGCTTAATGGTGGGGAGCCAGACTGAAAGTAGAAGAATGGATTTTTTAAACATTTCAATCTCAATGTTTAATAAAATAAATAAATTAAAACATATTACTTTTATATTATTTACTCATTAAAATATTATTTCTACAATAAAATAAAATAATATATATATATATATATATAAGTATAAAATACTAACATAAATTCTAAGAGTACAAAATCTGTCTTTTGAATACTGGCTAGGTCATGTTTTTGAATGTAATATGCAAATATATTGTGAATATTATTATTAAAATAATTATTAGATTATTCATTTTATTGTATTTAGATTTTATATTTCCTTGTTAGTTAAATTTATGAACTTATATTTTATAAATATTTGTTTTAAATTATTTGGATATTGGAAGTATTTTAATTGTGAACCATTTTACTTGAGTTGGGGAACTATTTCTTTACATTTTAATATTAAATGTGTTGGGGTAGAATGAGTGTCACAAAACTTGCATTGTATGACTTAGAGAAGAAATGTTTTTTTTTTAATGTTGTTGGTTAGATAAGATTTTTTTTTTGAAGTAGGTTAGATAAGATTAAGTCACTTAAACTTCTCACTTGTTATTGAAGATCTTTTAAGTTAAAATGCATAACGACACATAAGGATATTGTCTTGCTTATTGTATTGATAAGATGTTTTTTGTGATGATGAGATGTATGATTGTGTTGTTGAGATGGTTATTGTGTTGTTTATCTTATATTAAATTGTTATTGAGTTGAATAGCTATGTTGTGCGTTGACATGTTTCTATAAGGTTTAGCAAAGAGTGATGTTACGTTTATATAATTAGTTTTTTTACTTTCTATTTATATGATATTTCTTTGTTATGGGAGCAGAAGATAGAGTTCGTGATGAATTTGTTCTAATACAACTTGTGTTCATAGTGCTTCACAAGTACCTAGACTTGTTTTTAGTTTCTTTGATTTTAGATATTTACCACCTGTATATGTATATTTAAGATGACTATATCTCCTTAAGGGGCTTTATGTTTTCAATATATGGGTAGATTTTGTTTTATGTTTTCTTGCACTAAAATATATAAAATTGTTGCATGAATATTTAGGAATTTTTTCATGATAACCTTATGTTAGTTGATGTTTATGTTTTTTGTTGCATATTAACATAGTTATATCAAGTGTAATGATTTGTTAAGTTGTTACAAGTTAGACCCATGCCTATAAAAAATTGACTTAAACATATGTGATAATTAATTAACTATAATATTTATCATTGAGTAATCAAATAAAATAATTTTTATTTAAGTAAATATTTGGCTTAATTGCATTTTTTGGTTCTTTTATTTTTGTCAATATGTAATTTTAGTCCTTTAGCCAATTTAATATCCATTGATGGTTAAATATTAATGTTGACTAGTGACTTGCCACTATTTTAAGTGACCAAGAAAACATTTTTAAAACTAAATAAATAAATAATTAAAATAAAACAACAATTGACCTAATTTTTTTATGCATTTCTAAAGCGGTAAAGAAAAGAACAATTTCTTATTGACTGAATATATACTCTGTTTGTGAAAAAAACATTATACCTGAGGTTGGGCTGGATATGAATATATATAAGGGCAGCCAGCAAAATTGAAAGGAGAAAAATACAACACAAACAGATTAATTAACTTAATTAATTTTTCTAATTGTAGAATTGTGCTCTAATACCCCCCTGCAAGTTGGAGAGTATATGTTGATGACTCCCATCTTGGAAAACAAATATTGAAAAGGTGAAGGATCAAGCGGTTTGGTAAGTATGTCAGCTAATTGGTGAGAAGAAGCAATAGGTAGTAAGTGAAATAAGCCAGCTTGAAGCTTCTCACGAACAAGGTGGCAATCAATCTCAATGTGTTTGGTTCGTTCATGGAAAACAACATTAAATGCTATGTGTCTAGCAGACTGGTTATCACAATAAAGGAGGGCTGGAGTAGTAAAGGGAACTGAGAAGTCTTGAAGCAAGTAAGTTAACCATTGAATTTCACAAGCTGTGGCAGCAAGAGCACGATATTCTGCTTTGGAAGAAGATCTTGAAATGGTGGACTATTTTTTGCACTTCCAAGAGATGAGGGAATTTCCTAGGAAAACAGAATAGCCTGAGAGAGACCTTTTAGTATCTGAACAAGAGGCCCAGTCTGAATCACTAAAAGCTTTGAGTTGAAGAAGGGAATCTGCTGGATAAAACAAGCCTTGTCCAGGATTTCCCTTGAGGTATATAAGTACCCTGATGGCAGCTTGATAATGAGACCGTTGAGGGCAGGATAAAAACTGACTTAGTTGCTGGACAAAATAGCTGATATCGGGTCTAGTTGTGGTGAGATACAAAAGTTTGCCAATGAGCCTTCTATTCCCAGCTGGATCTTCATAAGGGGAATCAGTGGTGTGGCTGAGTCTTGTGGATTTAATTATGGGAGTAAGAACTGGTTTACCTGCAAGAAAACCAGTTTCATCAAGTAAGTCTAATGTGTATTTTCGTTGAGAAAGGGAAATGCCAAGATGAGACCTAGCAATTTCCAAACCAAGAAAATATCTTAAAGGACCAAGATCTTTAATTTTGAATTTAACCCATCACATACCATTCATCAAAAGGTCAATATGTATTGCCCATATATTAATAATAATGCACAATATAATTTATATTAACGTATAAATCTAATTTATTAATTAATATTAATTCATAATAATAATAATAATAAAATAGAGAATAATTATATAAATAAATATATAAATATAACAATTTGTTTATATGTACATATGTGAATTGTGATGAAATGATGAAATATGTGGATTGTGATGAGATGATGAAATCTGCGTGTTTATGGATTATATTGCTTTGAGATTGTTTGTGGAATGTCATGATGTCTTTTCTATATAAATATATTTTTTCTCACCGTGCATTTGTAGCTGTTTTTAGGTGAGTAAGATGTGGACATGGGTGACATTCAAGGTGCCAATAGTTGAGTTATGAGATTGCTCTAATAGTGTGACATCGAGAAAAAAGATTTTAGATTATTCATTTTATTGTATTTAGATTTTATATTTCCTTGTTAGTTAAATTTATGAACTTATATTTTATAAATATTTGTTTTAAATTATTTGGATATTGGAAGTATTTTAATTGTGAACCATTTTACTTGAGTTGGGGAACTATTTCTTTACATTTTAATATTAAATGTGTTGGGGTAGAATGAGTGTCACAAAACTTGCATTGTATGACTTAGAGAAGAAATGTTTTTTTTTTAATGTTGTTGGTTAGATAAGATTTTTTTTTTGAAGTAGGTTAGATAAGATTAAGTCACTTAAACTTCTCACTTGTTATTGAAGATCTTTTAAGTTAAAATGCATAACGACACATAAGGATATTGTCTTGCTTATTGTATTGATAAGATGTTTTTTGTGATGATGAGATGTATGATTGTGTTGTTGAGATGGTTATTGTGTTGTTTATCTTATATTAAATTGTTATTGAGTTGAATAGCTATGTTGTGCGTTGACATGTTTCTATAAGGTTTAGCAAAGAGTGATGTTACGTTTATATAATTAGTTTTTTTACTTTCTATTTATATGATATTTCTTTGTTATGGGAGCAGAAGATAGAGTTCGTGATGAATTTGTTCTAATACAACTTGTGTTCATAGTGCTTCACAAGTACCTAGACTTGTTTTTAGTTTCTTTGATTTTAGATATTTACCACCTGTATATGTATATTTAAGATGACTATATCTCCTTAAGGGGCTTTATGTTTTCAATATATGGGTAGATTTTGTTTTATGTTTTCTTGCACTAAAATATATAAAATTGTTGCATGAATATTTAGGAATTTTTTCATGATAACCTTATGTTAGTTGATGTTTATGTTTTTTGTTGCATATTAACATAGTTATATCAAGTGTAATGATTTGTTAAGTTGTTACAAGTTAGACCCATGCCTATAAAAAATTGACTTAAACATATGTGATAATTAATTAACTATAATATTTATCATTGAGTAATCAAATAAAATAATTTTTATTTAAGTAAATATTTGGCTTAATTGCATTTTTTGGTTCTTTTATTTTTGTCAATATGTAATTTTAGTCCTTTAGCCAATTTAATATCCATTGATGGTTAAATATTAATGTTGACTAGTGACTTGCCACTATTTTAAGTGACCAAGAAAACATTTTTAAAACTAAATAAATAAATAATTAAAATAAAACAACAATTGACCTAATTTTTTTATGCATTTCTAAAGCGGTAAAGAAAAGAACAATTTCTTATTGACTGAATATATACTCTGTTTGTGAAAAAAACATTATACCTGAGGTTGGGCTGGATATGAATATATATAAGGGCAGCCAGCAAAATTGAAAGGAGAAAAATACAACACAAACAGATTAATTAACTTAATTAATTTTTCTAATTGTAGAATTGTGCTCTAATACCCCCCTGCAAGTTGGAGAGTATATGTTGATGACTCCCATCTTGGAAAACAAATATTGAAAAGGTGAAGGATCAAGCGGTTTGGTAAGTATGTCAGCTAATTGGTGAGAAGAAGCAATAGGTAGTAAGTGAAATAAGCCAGCTTGAAGCTTCTCACGAACAAGGTGGCAATCAATCTCAATGTGTTTGGTTGAAGAAGAAGCTCCGCATGGCTCAGCTAGAAATCCAACTCCTACTCTTGACTAGCACCTTGAATCAAGCAACGAGAGTGAATCAGAAATGTGAGAAAGGGGGTGAAAGAGAGTGTTGAGTGTGAAGAGAGTTTGGTAGTGTGAGTGAGAGTAAGAGAGGGTAAGGGTAATAGGGGAAGGAAAAAGAGAGGGTCTCACAGTCCATGAAAACCTCAATGCTCTTCTCCACTAGGTCGGAGAATATAGCCAGCATGCATCTCTGAAATGTTGCAGGAGCATTGCACAGTCCTAATGGCATCTTCCAGTGATAAGAAAGTAATTGGAAAAGTTTTTATAAGAGGAAAGTTTAGAAAACTTAATTCACCATCCCTCTTAAGTTATACGAGGCTAAGGGACTAACAAATTAGAATATGTTTAACTAAATTTTTTCAAAATAATTATAGAAAAGAATAAGAACGTGCAAAAAAGTAAAATTATTATTTTTTAAGTTAATTTACAAAAAATTTCTCTAATTAATTTCATAATTTTATTTTCTTAAAATTAAGTTAAGAGTAAATGTTCACATATTTAATATCTGTCAAACTTTTTAGAAGATTGGCTCCATATTTTATAGAAAATACTTCTTGATAATAATAAATAAAGAAAAAACTAATCTTGACTTACAAAAAAATTTTGTTTTAATTTTTCTTTATTTTTAAAAATATTTATAGAAAAATATATTCAGTCATATTCTAAAGCGAATTTTGGTGGCTTAATCCGAGTTGGAGGATATGCTCCCATCAAGTTGGCAATTTTCTAGGCATCGTTCATCAAATATTGGTTAAGTAATCCAAATGAAGAGAGTCAACACTCAACAGGAGACGTTCTTATCAGTTTGTAATGAAGACATGTTACATGTATATTAATTATATTTTATAGAATATAGTAAGAATAATGCGGTGCCTGGCTATATAGTCTAGTCATATTATAATTGCACATGTTTCCATTTAATTTTATTCAAAATAGGAGTCATCAAACTTCAGATTTTATAATTTTATGAGAGTATATACAAGTTAAAAGTTATTTTCAGAATTTTTTATTAAAAATAAAAATAAAAATAAAATATTTTTTAATAAAAAAATTCTCAAAAATATTTATATTTTGTATCTAAACATACTCTAGTATAAACTATAATTAACATTAAATAAATAATAAATAAAAAAAAGCATGATATTTTTTATGCACTTCTTAGAGCATCTCTAATGGGGGTTGCTTATAAGCAACTCCCTGTGTCACATTACTGTCAAATCAACTCTAACTCACTTTATAGATTACTTAAATTTTAGCAGAGTTACTTCTATCTAACCCCGTTGCAGATGCTGTTATGGCTACCAAGTCCAAAATGCGGTACTTTTATCATAAGTCGGTGGTGCTGGAAGTCCAAAGTATGTCCTATATAGGAATATAGTTGCATACTTGCACATACTTTTTCCCTAATCAAAGAAGTGGATAACTTAATTAGTGAGGATTACTACAAAGATAAATGTCTTTGAAATATATATGAACGAAAAAAGATAAAAGAAAAGTAGGGATGAAATGAAAATAATTATATATATTTAAATAATAAAATTCTATTTCGTACTAGAGAGATAATATTATATATATAGAGTATGTTTAAATAAATTTTCCTACAAACACTAAAAGAATGAAATTAACTTCTATATAAATTTATATATAAGTTTAAAAAAAACATATTTTAGATAAACTAATTTATAAAAAAAATATAGATTAATTTATGTATAAGTTAATTTTAATTTTTGAAGGAATTTATATTTTTTCTCTTATATGTGTTTACTGAGAAATGTATCTAAATATATTCATATATTTTTGAAAAATATTGTACAAGAGAAAAATATTGCGACAAATATAGTGAAGTTGGATTGAATTAGTTGCTTGACTTGGGATATCTATGCATGCAACTATTAGTTCTCTTATTTATTTAAAAAAAATTAGAAAATAAATATTTTATTGGTGAAGAAAGATAAGATATAGATAATAAGTGTGGAGAATCCATTACCTAACTTAACTTAAAATGACATTGGAACGTATAAGCAAGATCGAAATAAATATGCATATCTTGCTGCAAGTTGTTTATCTCTAGCTATAAGCACATGAACTCAATCAGAAGTGTCCCCTCCATTCCCGAGTCACAATCCTTAGGCCACAAGAGTTATTCAGAAGAAAGAAAAAGCTGCAAAAGTATTTTATAATTTTATTTCTTAACATAATTATCTCTCAGATAAAAAACCAGTTTTATATTAGTCATTTTCATTGCAGTTAAAACATAACTTCTTACTCCCTTCCATGTTAGCAGTTTTTGATTGGATTTATTATTGTGAAAAAAGGTTTTCAAGCTTGATTTTTATTATCACAAAGTGATTTTATATACAGTAATAGCAGAAAGGATATATCTCTGAAACACAATCAAATTCCTATAATTAAGCTAATTCATATAATTAAGACAATCCCTGAAAACTAGCTAATGCAGCAAATCAATCTATATTTGATTACGATACAGTGAATCAATAAGAAATCTCAACACTTCCCCTCAAGTTGGTGCGTAAATGTCAGTCATGCTCAACTTGCTTAAAAATCTAGAGAACACTGGTTTTGAGACCGCTTTCATGAGGATATCTGCCAACTAATCTTCTGTTCTGATTTTAGGCAACTCTAAAATCCTTTTATCCAACTTTTCCTTGATGAAAAATTTGTCCACTTCAATATGTTTTGTACGATCATGTTGTACCGGATTATGAGCAATATCACATGCAGCTTTGTTGTCGCAATACAACTGGATTGGTTGCTTAGTCGAGTATCCCAAATCTTCCAGTAGTAGCTTCAACCATAATGCTTCACAAAGGCCAAGTGCCATAGCTCTAAATTCAGCTTCTGCACTCGAGCGGGCAACCACACTTTGTTTTTTACTTCTCCAAGTTACAAGATTTCCACCTACAAATGTGAAATAACCTGAGGTAGACCTCCTGTCATCTATGGATCCAGCCCAATCTGCATCTGTATATACATTTATGCCTTGATCATTAGTGTGTTTAGTGAACAGAATACCCCTTCCAGGTGCAGATTTCAAATATCTTAAGATGTGCATGACAGCATTCATATGTTTTTCTCCTGGGTTATGCATGTATTGACTAACAACACTTAATGCATAAGTAAGATCTGGTCTGGTATGAGCCAAATACATTAATCTTCCTACAAGCCTTTGATACCTCCCTTTGTCAACCGGTACCTGATTTGGCTCGAGACACAATTTCAATCCTTCTTCAAGAGGAGTAGTAGTAGGATAACAACCTTCCATGCCTGTTTCTCGTAAAAGATCTAGAATATATTTTCTTTGGGAAAGAAATAGTCCTGTTTTTGATCTGGAAACTTCTATCCCAAGAAAATATTTCAAAGAGCCAAGATCTTTCATTTCAAATTTTCTAGATAAATAGTTTTGTAGGGCTTTCCTATCCTCATGGTCATTTCCAGTAACCATCATATCATCTACATATATAATAAGAGCAGTGATTTTACCATGTTGTTTTTTTAAAAACAACATGTGATCTAATAAAAAATTATCTTTTGTTTCTATATTTTCGTTTTTACATTTTTTTTATAATGATTGAGATATTTGATCCATTTGGATAGCCAAGATATATTCGATCTTGTATAATTGGTGTGCTTCTAAAAATAATAATATAATTTTATTGATTTTGTCTCTTATCCATAATTATTTATATAACTAGTTTTCAACATATATTGTTTTAGTAATTCAAATGGGAGATTCACATAGAAATAATAAAGAAAAAGGAAAAGAGAAAGAAAACTATGAAGCTTAGACCAAGGAGGATTCCAATGAATTGTTACAATTGATAGTGGATGCTATAAAAAGTTGATAGAATATTATGGAGAATTATTATTATTATTTATCTAGACATTATTGTTTTTTTAATTATTTTTATCTTTGACTCTTTTTAAATTTGAATGTATGAATTTTTTTTAAATCTTATCAAATTTCAAAACTCCATAAAATCTCACAAAATCCATTAAAATCTTGATTTAAAAGTCTTATAGAATCCATTAAAATCCTGATTTTAAATCTTGTAGAATCTTGCAAAATCTTAAAAGTCTTGAAAATCCTGCAAAGTCTTTTAAAATCTACAGGATTTTTTTTTACTAAAAAATTCCTTTAAAATCCTAATCCAATACACCCCCCTTAGTGTTGAGGTGGGTTCAATTGAAATATCAGTCTTTTTCATTGTGGGTGGAGGAGTCATTGTCATTTTGTTGTTTATTGGTTTCATAGTCATAGGAATTTTCATAATCATGGGAATTAAGTTGATTATGAAAATTTCTATTTTATTAGAGAATGTCCGTAAATTATATTATTTATTTTAAACTTTTTGGGCCAGCACCTATTAAAAATTTTTGAAAAAAAACTTATTTTTGAAAAACTTTGTTCGTTATCATGAATAACGTTTTAAATATCATAGTTGTTTAGCCATTGCGCTTTTGTTTACCCTCAAATATATTGTTTAGGCTTTTTACATTGTGTTACATATTGTCTTTAAATGATGAGATGCCTAGACTTAGTGTTGAGGTGGACTTAATTGAAATATCAGTCTTTTTGATTGTGGGTGGATCAGTTATTATGAAAAAGCTTTTCAAGCGTTATTTTTATTATCACAGAGAATGATTTTGTATACAGTAATAGCAGAGAGGATATATCTCTGAAACACAATCAAATCCCTATAATTAAGCTAATTCATATAATTAAGACAATCCCTGAAAACTAGCTAATGCAACAAATCAATCTATATTTGATTACTATATAGTGAATCAATAAGAAATCTCAATACTTCCCCTCAAGTTGGTGCGTAAATGTCTGTCAAGCCCAACTTGCTAAAAAACTGGAGAACACTGGTTTTGAGACTGCTTTCATGAGGATATCTGCCAACTGATCTTCTGTTCTGATTTTAGGCAACTCTAAAATCCTTTTATCCAACTTTTCCTTGATGAAAAATCTGTCCACTTCAATATGTTTTGTACGATCATGTTGTACCGGATTATGAGCAATATCACATGCAGCTTTGTTGTCGCAATACAACTAGATTGGTTGCTTAGTCGAGTATCCCAAATCTTCCAGTAGTAGCTTCAACCATAATGCTTCACAAAGGCCAAGTGCCATAGCTCTAAATTCAGCTTCTGCACTCGAGCAGGCAACCACACTTTGTTTTTTACTTCTCCAAGTTACAAGATTTC